CAGAAAAATGCATTTTCATCAATATCCGGCGGATTTGGCCTAACTTGTACAGCGTCTGTTGACTACAGTCTCAAACATGGAATCTTGAAGTTGATGCCAAATGGAAGAGTGCATCGAGTTCTATATATTTCGACGGAGAAAAGTTATGCTACATGCTGCAGTCTTGAGATAGAGATTTTTGAGACACCCGGTTTTCTAAAAAACCGAGTGAACTTAAAGTTTCTTTCAGATGCCTTTTAACCATATCAATAGGTAGCTCCTTCCATTCTCCATAACGTAGGAATGATGAAAATGCATTTTTCTGCTGCGACGGTAAAACGGCTATTGCTTCTTTTCTAACAAGGCTGGAGACTAGCGGTTTTCACCATTCGGTTCAGCATGCTGAGCTCTAGAATATGAGGTAGGTCTTGTCACTGACTTGAACGGCCGATGTAAATGGTAAAAAAACGGTTTTATATGGACTTAGCCTATCTATCGATGCCGAAAACATCCCTCTTCAGTAGTATTTCTAGCGTAAGGACATTCAGGCCCCATTTTTTCTCAATATTATATATGTCACTTTTTAACCCGTAAAATTCTCTATCGAATGATATACAAACTGGCGTGGTTAACGGTAAACTGGCTGGACAATATAAGCGATGAACGCTGTTGACCTATCGATTCGTGGAGGTCGAGATCAGTATCTCTAGTGTTAGGGCAGCAAGACCCTATTTATTCTGTATATCCTATATATCATCTTGTAGCCCCTGTAATTCTCTATCGAATGATATATAAAGTGACCTGGTTACCGATAAACTGGCTGGACAATGGAAGCGAGAAACGCTGCTCACCTATCGATTTGTGCAGATCGAACTAGTATTTCTACTGTTATGACATCAGGACCCCATTTGTTCGCAGTAATATATATCTTATTTTGTAGCCCCTGCAATTCTCTATTGAATGATATACAGTAGTTGAGGTTTGCTTTGGGTAAAGGGAAGAAATGGATAAAATACTCTAAATAAAGTTCAATTATGGGGAGAAAAGTTTGAATGGGGAATTTTTTCCAGGGGGGGGGGGTGAAAATGGTTTTTTTGAGGTGCTAGTTTTAATCACGGAGAAAAACTACATCAGACTTGTGAATATGAGCTTGATCCGAGAGGGGGCCGATTTTATCTCTTATCGACCACCGTCCTTTCAACGAAACGTTTTTGTTTATACATTATTAGGTGATGGTGAGGCGAATTTGTCGATCGAAGTCGATGATATAGACTTCGGCTTGAAATTCTACCTGTCTATAGCCGGAATATGCTTCCTCCATACGACTAACAAACGTATGAGGAAGATACATTCAACAAAAAAATTCGATGTCGTGTGCTCTAACCACGAGATCAGACGAGAACGATAGAATCGTAAGATGAGTTGGCCGACAGTTTTATTTAAATGTTACTTCCTTGTGATGCGCTCTTCTTTCACATTCTGACTTTGGTACAGCTGGTCCTCTTCGTATACGCTCCTGCTCGAATACATCTAGTGTTGATCAATGCAGCTTACAGACTGGTCATAAGAGTGCCTGCCAGAACTAGCCATTGAAGGGTAACATAAAGAGAGCATTCTATGCCTCGACCAGAAGGCTACATCCATGCATCACTAAATTCTCTCTTCACTGTCAACATCGTCGAAGTGTTGTTGATAACTACAGCAATAATCAGCCATTGTCGTTATTCCAACGTTATTTTTATCGTTCTTCATGTTTGCGATAGAAACATAGAATGTGTAAACAAAAGATTCTGGTTGCTTCGACGCACGAAAAACAACCTTTTTGCTACCTTCTCTATAAAACATAGTGTGCAGGTGAAGCAAATACAATTTTATTTCTTCGGCTACGTCTTTTTCGAAGGTAAGCAAGCGTAGTTTCACACAAAATAAAACCATACTTTTTCTCAGGTAGCAACGAAGATTCAACCTGATTGTCGTCCTGTTTCCGGATATCAATTAGAACGAGAAGCTTATCTTGAAAATGATCTGTGAAGACTATTTCGTAATACTAGAAAGAGCTGTTCATCCGACAGCCTTTCTGACGAATGAGTTTCACTGAGTGACAAAGAGTTTGTAACAATTGAGATGGCTGATTCCACTCCGAATCTTGTGACAATTTTACTTCAGTCTTTGATGGAGTATGCGATAGTCAAATGACTGATTGCATTTGATTCTGAAACCTCGCACATTGCTCGGTTTGAGAGATTACGGAGTGTTTTGCAAAGTTCAGTAAGCTTACTCGTTTTCTTCACTGATTAAAATGTGTTGAAGATGGAGTGATTTCCAATCTCGCCTTATTTTATTATAAATCATCGTGAATATATCCACAATACGTCCATACCTTTGTGTATCTACACTCTCAGTGTTTTTCTCTTATTTCATCGATGATCTCGAAGTCGAAGACTTTTTTCTTGTCCAATGAGTATTGGAAAAAGATGGACTCGTTCTTCTCTCGATTATGATATTGACAAAATATTCTTCACCCACTTATCTTTGTACTACGCCGCTACTGTTCGATAAGATAGTCGTGCATTGTGTCATGCGTCTTCCTTTTTCTGTTCTGTTTCGGCGAAACAGTTTCGGCGAAACAGTTTCGGATACTAATACTTCTAGATACTAATACGTTAGGAAAAATTTTCTGTTCACAAACATGGTACTTTCAGAAAACTGTAGGTGTCAATATAATTGACTTTCAATGTGATTCATCATATTCAATCCGTGTTACTCTGCTGATACGGTTAAATTTTCAACGATTTTCATCAACATTGATGCTCTATCCATAGGTTTCAATTTCGAATGCGAGAGGACCAAACAACAAGAAAAATCCATTCAATGGATTTTAATTTCAATCAGTCGGTTTTCATTTTTATTTGATTCGATGCCAATAGTTGTATTGAACTAAAACCTTTTAAAGAATATGAATCCGTCACGCATCTACCATCGTCGCCATGTGCGGGTGACATTTTTGGGTACCGATAAAATGGAACATTTTTATTATACCTTCTTACATTTTCTATTTATTCATTGGGTTCTCACATCCCTCATGATTTCGACGACCACGACAACCATATTCGTTGAAGATGCCGTTTTCGACGACCACGACAATCATTTCTTCTGACTGTTAATCGTTTAGTCTGTCTCGTTAGCAACATTCCACTCAGCAGTAGCTATCAAGGCAATCTTCGTTCGTACCCTTTTTCTTCTCTTTCTTGTTTTTGTATGCTGCTATGTTAACTAGGTGAACATATCGATGGTTACGATGCAGAGAATGAAATCTCGATAATACGACTGCATTTCACAACTCGATGAAAGAAACGACCGAACATAGTCGTTGAAGTGAGGCTGCGGTGCTTTCATTCTAATAACACAGGATAGTTGAAGACTTCAGCCAGAGTATAGTGTGCGTGGAATAGATAGAAAAAGACACAAGATAAATAGTGGATCGTTTAGAACTGACTTTTTTCATTTAGATTATCGTCGCACACTTAACAAAAAAACACCGTTTTTTTCTATTTTCATCCATTATGCGAATATCAGTTCGTTCGTTCGAAGGAAAGGAGACATCTTTAGATGTTCAACCGAATGATACTATTCAAAGCATCAAAAAACAAATACAAAGTAAAGAACGCATTCGCATTGATTTGCAAAGATTGATGTTTGCTGACAAAAACCTTCAAAATAGTCGAACCCTATCGAATCACGGAATCGGTGATGGCGCTGTTGTCTATCTAATGTTACGTGAGTATTTCCAATGTGGAAGGGCATCTAATTCATTCTAATTCTTTTGTCAAATATAGGTGCAGCACAGAATAGTAACACTGTTGCTGGAGGCTACGGTCAAGGTACTGCTAACGATGAGCTCTGTTTTCCTTATGGTCTGGTCGTTGATGATAATCAATCGATACTCATCGCTGACTGGGGTAATCATCGCATTTTGCAATGGAAAATAGGCGAGATCAATGGTCGAGTCATAGCAGGTGGTCACGGTCAAGGCAATGCATTGAATCAATTGAATTGTCCGACTGATGTTCTCATTGACAAAGAAACAAATAACTTACTTATTTGTGATCGAGGAAATCGACGCGTTCTACAACGGGCCCGTCGTGACGATGCAACCGAAGGAGAAACTATAATCGACAATGTTGCATGTTGGGGATTAGCTATCGATAATCAAAGAAACTTGTACGTATCCGATACTGGAAAGCATCAAGTACAACGGTATCGAATAGACGGTACGAATGGGAAGCTAGTTGCCGGTGGCAACGGCAGAGGTGTTGGCCTTGATCAGTTCAACTATCCGACTCACCTATTGGTCGACGAACAACAGAACGTCTATGTGGCCGATGTATGGAATCAACGAGTCATGCAATGGTCGAAAGATGCATCTACAGGAACTGTCGTTACCAAGGGATTTCCTCGAGGATTATTTGTCGATAGTTCTGAAAATATTTATGTGGCGGACTATGGAAATCATCAACTCGTATGTTGGTCGAAAGGAGCAGCAAAAGGTACGGTCTTTGCAGCTGGAGATGGTGACAAAGATGATACAAACCAGACGTACTATCCTTGGGGCGTCTCACATGATCAACATGGGTATCTCTACGTTGCCGATCATTCAAGCCATCGAATACAACGCTTTCCTATCAAACGAGACTGATGAAGTACAGTATGAAGCATAGATTACATTTAACAATAAATATTAACAGTTTTACGAACATGTTTATGGCTAGAAACTTCAACCTTGGCTATCGAGGTTCATCTCTGTACACGCTTCCTATCTTGTTGTCGACTTCTTTTCTCTTCATCTACTTAACTATAGTTTATGTGTACATGTAACTGATTATTTCACTCTCACTTATGTACTGGTCGATTCTAGATTTGAAATTATTCATTGCTACTGCTTTCAATTGTAAACATGGTATCAACTTTAACCATTTTGGTGGAAAACGTGATTACATGTCCAATCTGTCTGAAGCATTTTGATCAGCCTCGTATGCTACCATGCTCGCATACTTTCTGTTTTCAATGCATTCAGCAAATGGCTTCTGACAATCATGGCGTGTTGGAATGTCCAAAACGCGATGGAATCAAAGTTGAAGGAAATAATATCGGAGCACTGCCACTGAACGAAACTGTGCGTAATCTGTTACAACTCTTTGGTAAGTGTATTTTCGCTAGACTTTCATTCATGTTTTTTGATTGAACCATGGACGTTTCATTCATGCTCAGAAAATCCGAATACGACCACACCTATGTGTGATCGATGCGAAACCAATGAAGCTGAACATTGGTGCGATAGTGACTGCAAACATAGCTTTTGTTCGAAATGTTGGGACACGATTCACGAACTAGGTCAATATCGTACCCATAAGAAATTACCGGTGAAGAAAAAACCGCTGGATGTACCCAGATGTGGAGAGCATAAGGATGAAGATCAAAGTCTCAAATACTGGTGTGAAAATTGTTCGAAGGAAATTTGTGGTGATTGTCAGAAATTGGTACACAAGGATCACAAGTTTGAATTAATAACTGGTTATGCCAAGTCGTTGGAAGAGAAGGTTAGTACTGTTGAGATTAAGACATCAATAAAAATCGTGCAATTCATATTAGACCTGCAATAATTTACAAGGAGTTCAGTCGTGTTTGACCTATCGATCAAATCGAGTAGATCAAATGTTGGCAGAGGTCGAAGAGGAAAGTCAAATGAATCAATTGAAAGTTACTAAAGCGATGGCATCCCTTCGTCAGCTGATCGATGAACAAGAACGAAAATTACTGGAAAGCCTTCATAAGAATGAACTGGACGATAAGAAACGAATCGAAGATTACAAACAGTCACTCCAGAGCGAACAACAAGGTTTGATTGAGCAAATATTGAAGTTCGTGGTAGTTTGTCGTGATAAGAATCTGAGAAAACTACTGGATGCAAAACAACCATTCAGTGATTACATCAACAGGACAAATAACAGGTTGATAGAGTTGAAGCCATTAAGTAGGACTAAACATCATCTGCATGGTCTTGATGAACTGACGGACTTGGAAAATCAAATTCGGAACATCACTTTGCAGGAAATCCCGAAACATCAAAATGAACAATTACGGCAGCGAATGGCAAATACTACCGATCGATCAACGCTGAATTTATCGAATATGCAGTTGACCAATCTGGATATGGAACTCGTGGCCAAAGAATTGGAAACCAACCGTGTACTCAATCACCTGTCTAATCGTGAATTCTATTCTGATACTCTCATCTATTCTTTTATAGGTACTGACCAAGCTTCAACTGTTTACCAATCAAATTGATGACATGGGAGCACAACACCTGGCTGATGCACTTCGAACAAACACAGTAATATAGATCTACGTCACTGAATTCTAGTTACATCACAGAAATTCCTTTCAACAGACACTGACGACTTTGGAACTACACGGCAATCAAATCGGTACTGATGGATTGGAACATTTTGCTGATGCACTACGGACAAACAGGGTACCTCAGTGGAGATCATCAAAATAACGTCATAAAATGTCTTGTTTTAGACACTGACTTCACTGACCATGTACATGAATAAAATCGACGATCCAGTTCCTCACTTTGTTGCAGATAAACTGAAAAACAATAAGGTAAGCCAATAAGGTACAACTTCGACTAAATCGTATATTCCACTCACTTTTCCCTCAATCGAGCATAGAGAATTTCCGCTTACCCGTGTTTCCATAACCACTCATCTATTGCTTTCTAATTGCAGGACATGGAAACTCAAATTCGAAACATCAATGTCATTCCGAAACCGAAACACGAAAACCCACAACTTGAACAACTGATTGCGAACAACCTCAATTCCGGAAATCTCAATTATGCAGCTAAAGAACTGAACGATGATGATATGGAAATCGTGGCGAACAAATTATTGAAAAACAACATGGTATGTGGGGGACTCCGGAAGAGTGTACCAACTAGGATGATGAACGAAAGTTGACGGTCACCATCCTCACCCTCTAACCTCAAAGCACTCAGATTTAGTGCTTCAGCCAGATATCTTAGTCCCGTGTCTCCGGTTCGGTTCTGATACAGATTCAATCTATGCAGTTTCTAGAAAATGAAGGGAAAAGCATTAGACTGTGGTCTGAAGTTAATATCTGAATATTCATATACATCGAGACTCGTTTGTTAAGTCACAGAAAAGATTCTTATGCGTCATTCTAGATGTACAACATTGTCGTACTCTTTTAATCAGCTTCTCGTTTTCTTTAGACACTGACCATACTACACTTGCATGGAAACAAAATTGGAGACACTGGAGCACGATATCTGGCTGAAGCACTGAAAGCGAATCAAGTAAGCTCTGTTTCTGATTCGTCATGAGGCTTACATGAGTTGGATTCAGAGTTTAGAAGCTGTTGAATCATATTTTCGATCACTCTCAGGATCGCTCTTTGATTCCGTCCTATTGGCTGCTGTAGTTCGATTAGCATTTTGTGGGCGCTCGCATACAGAGATCAGAAAGTTGTCTGTCTTAAGCCTCTAAAGAATCCATCTCTTTCATGCAGGCATTGACAAAGCTGACATTGAACACGAATCAGATTGGAGATACCGGAGCACAACATCTGGCTGATGCGCTAAAAACTAATGAGGTAAACGCCATGTTCACTATTCTTGTTCGGGTAGAATATCAATATACTCTAATCTAACACTCTCCTGTATCATAGACTCTGACACAACTCCACTTGTCTCAGAATCAAATCGGCGATACCGGGGCGCAGCAATTGAGCGAAGCACTGAAAACAAACCGGGTGAGTCAAGGATGTCGTGCATCAAGCGTCGAATTTCGAACATTTCTTGAAAAGAATGGCGGTCTGTTATAGGAATTTCCACGATACTACAGTGAAGATCTAGTTTCTCTCAGAGGCTTGATCTGGAAATTGTCAGGTCAATGGTATCTGATATGAAAAGATGTGTTACTTGGTTCGTTTTCAGAGCCTCTGCCAACCAGCTTGCTCCAGGATCTCGGATTTGATTTCGATGTAGCTGTAATGTTTGCAATTTCAATAAACCAAGTAACGCATGTTTTAGATGTCGGGCGGACGTGAGTGTTTCCCAGCTCCAATGAGTCGCTCTTTGCAGCACGTGTAGTATCTGTTGGAATTGTTGTTCTAGCACCACTCTTTTCGAAATATGCCCTTTCTTTTCTCTCACTCTCGAGGTAGACTTAAGGGTAGAATATCAGTATACTCTACCCTAACATTCTTGTGTATCGTAGGCCCTGACACAACTCTACTTGTTAATGACTGTTTTGCAGCAACTAAGATGTACTCGCGTGATATATATATATATATTTGTCATTCATGTTCGATACTGTTAAACTGGCAAATAGATAGAGCCCACAAGATCTTTAAATTAGGAAGCATTCTACAGAGGTATTGCATCTAACTTCTATATCATGTTAACTTTGAAAAAAATGGCTGATTATTTCCGAATTAGGAAATACTTATCTAATTTTCATTTCTTCGTTTAATCTCCAATGAAATGTCAAACGAAGGCCACGTCAAAAAGTATCTCAATCAAAATTGACAGCTGCCAATATTTATTGTCTATGCAGATCGAGAGTGAGACAGTGGGGCACAGCATCTGGCAGAAGCACTAAGAACCAACAAAGTGAGATTTATTGATTTTCTATACATTTTCTATACATACAACTGTATTTGTATTATATTTCTGGAAACTCGAAAGACTGAATAACGCGGAATATCTAACCGATCTACTATCGATCCCAAAATACAGGGCCGGTGGGCATTTTTTGAATAACTTTTGATAGAAATGAGATAAAGACCTGCGATTTCCGCTGTTCAATAGCCAAGACTTGAGCAGAACTTTTCATAAGCGGAAGCAACTTTTGAAAAATTCCAGAAATCGGGTTTCCAGAGGATCTTTGGAAAACCAGCTCCGTTCTTAGAAAACTAACATACAATGTTAGTAATCTTTTTGCATGCGTAGATAGTCCGGTCGTTACCCTACAAAATTATGCAAGTCCCGGCTGTCTAGCGATCGTCGTTCGGGCAGGGCTCGCTTTCTCCGAGCACGTGTCTATCTCCAAGCAGTTATCTCTGGGAATCTTAAAATGCTATGGACTATAGGTAATCGACTACGCTGAGCATAGTGGCAACATTTGTTTTTGTGTAGAAATGAATATAACTTCGCCAGAGGCATTGTTGTGAAAAAACCGGTTTTTCGCCTGTTACTATAAATAA